GCTGGATTTGTGCAGGGTCTCTTCCCCGCCACAATAACCCCTATCCCGGCAACTCCCCCAAGACGTCGCGGCACCAAACAGTACGAACAATTTAGACTGGACGTGCGCACGTCCCGCGCTCACCGACCGCCATTTTTTCTTCCCTACACCTCTCTCCCTTTCCTCCACCTCCTCCTCCGCACGCGCTGGCCTTTTTGCTACGCCTTGCGGGGCGGGCCATAGGGATGGTGGACCTGGAGGAGAAGCGGGCGCAGGAACGGGGTGAGGGGAGGCGCTATAGCCAACGCGCGAAGACACGCAGGGCGGATATTGCGGGAAAGTTGGACGGGGCGGTAAGCGGAGAGCAAACACGGGTCAGTCGGGCCTGGCAATGGGTACGCGCGTGGCTAGGGAGGGGGGCGGGGTGGCAGAGAGAGAGAGAGGAGTCGCTAGGGGCAGGCGTGTGCGAAGGGGAAAACAGAAGGCGATGAAGGGGTGGAGGACGAAGAGCTGGACGGATCTGCCAGGTTCCGGTCGGCACCCCCGGTGGAACACCACGGGTGCAGCCTGCTTAAAGGAAGAGAGGAGAATAGGCAGAAAATTGCCCGCAACTCGCATCAGGCGTGTGCGCGTACGTGGGGAGGGATGACCTTGAGGGCAGGCACAACTGCACGCCGGAGGACGCGCACATGCACATTTCCGCGAAATCTGTCTATCACTGGTTGACTTTTTTGTCCGCCACCCCTGCGGTGTCAGCAAAGAGACGCGGCACACGTGCGGAAACGCGGCTTCCGCGTGAATCATTCGGGCGCACCGCGCACGCACGTGTGCTTCCGACATCGAGGCACATTGCGGACCAACGTGCCCTTTCCCTCTCTCCTAACAACATCTGATTTCTGATTCTTCTTTTTCCGTTCTTCATCCACTTCCTCTTTATTCTCTCCCAAGGGAATTCTACTCCCACGTTCAATGAAGCCGTCTCCGCACATTTCCACCCTCCTCCTCCCCCTCCTGCTCCCCCTCCTCCTCCTCATCACCATCATGGCTATCTTCGTATTCCTTGCCGTTGTTGCTGTCGTCATAATCGCCGTCGTTTCCACCTCGAAAAATTCAGCGGGAACAGCAGTGGAAATATCATCGTCCATCCTCTTCCTTATGTGCCTCCTCTTTCTTCCTCCCATCTTCATCTTTCAGCCAGATCGCAGTTGGTACCCAGGACCCGCATTACAGGTGGCGGGGAGGGGTTTGTTTACTGGGGCTATTTTATGGGATTCAAAAATCACATCTAACCCATTTGACTTCCGTTTTACGCTTGAGGTTAGGATTAAGGTACCGGTTAAGGGTTTCCGATTTTCGGGTTAGGGTTATGCATTTAGGTTTAGGTTTTCGGGTTACGGTTAGGGTTTAAGCGTGCGATTAGGTTTCAGTATTACGGTTAGGTTTTTTAGTTACGGCTGTCTAAGAATAACGGCTACGTTTACGATTTCGGTTAGGGTTGGGGTTGCCGTCAGGGTTAATGGTTAGCGTTTAAGGTTGAGGTTATGGTTAGGGTTAAGGTTAGGATTAAAGGTAAGGTCGCCGTCCGCATCCCCATTCCTGGCGATCTAACCCATCTTTCTCTTGTCCTACTTTTCAATTGTTGGTTAAAGGGGTCTTGCGTAACGCTTCTGCTGCTGTTTCACTGAATAATAATAGTAATAATGACGATGATGAGGATGATGATGATGGTGGTGATGATGATGATGATGATGATGATGATGATGATGATGATGATGATGATGATGATGATGATGATGATGATGATGATGATGAAGATGATGGAAATGAGAAAGCAAAGTGCACTTTGTACTTGGCGTTAGAGGGGTCGTTTAACAGACTTTGAGATGACAAAGCCCTAGGAGTTCTTCTTGGTTGAAAAGGAACAAATGGGGGTTTTCAAAGCAGAAAATTTCCGCCGTGTTCTCCTACAGGCCTGTGGAGGTAGTAGACGTCCCAGAGTTTGGTTACGAAGCCCTGCCCAACGTAGGAAAGCAGATTCTCTGTAAGCAGTGTCGGTGATATTTCTCGTTCGTCGATAATCAAGGCAGTAATCCCCTCCATTACTTCCTTCGACGCCTACTCACTGGTCTAGAAAAACATCGTGAGCATCAAGCATAGCATAACAGAGCATTGCTACTACCCTTCAGTGTATGTTGTGTAGATGGTAAATTACGGTGTGCCAAAAAAGCTCTCTGTTGGCAGAAGTTCTTTACCAACATCGACATACGAAACCGACGCAACAACCACAACCTGATAGGATAAGTATGAGGACCAAGAGCTTACATAAGTCAGAGCCTGTCCTTTTAAGTGGGTATCCAGGAGTTAGAACCGTAGCAGTGTGGATAGAGGCGAGTTCATGAGCGCCAAGTTCCTGTGGAGGAGAAGACAGCTTGATCATCGGAAGCGTGTTGCCTTTTTTCGCGGCCGCTTGACCCTTGACTGAGATGACCACCAAAGACCTTCTGACTGGAACTGTGCAGAGTCGATTTCCCGACCCTGAATTTGGTCGACTATATCCGCAGCGAAGTCAAAAAGACACTGGTGGAGAGGTATTACCAGCCGAGAGGGAGAACACTGTCGTCAACCATTTGATACCCACCAGCAGGCTGAGATTTTAACCCGGGTACTTTGGTCAGTAGCTGTAGCTCAGCATTAAGGCACGGGCCCGAGTTCTGTTTAAGTCATCGGGAATATGCATAGTGACAGAGGATTTAATTGCGCCTAACTGCGCATGAAACGCGGACGTTCTGTTTTGTTTTTCGGCGTCGTTTCAGTGAACGCGCCGGCTATCGCCTGGAGACGACCAAGGGGACTGAAAGAACTATTACCTAACTTGGTTCTCCGATTCAGGAATCCTCAGTTTCCATGATGACGACGTCGCTGATCGCTCGTTCTTATGCAACTACCCGAAAGGGAGATCAAGACCAAAATGAGGTCGGTTCTCCTTCTTAAAGTCAGAGTATCTCGGCTTATGCCACTTCTTCGCCTAGCATCGAGGGCAATGATGTGCTTATTATTAGTATCCTCAGAGAAGATATAACATTCCCAAGCCGCTGGTCCTTTCCGTTGTCCTTTGTTTCACACCCTCGCTTTAAACCTCACGGTCCCGTAGTAAACGCTCATCATAATAACCCACCTGCGCACATCATCGATGCGTGAATATTGCCCCCAGCCTCTCTCTTGTCCGACAACAGATTGTCAACAGTTAGAAAACGTACAAGTACAGTAACACTTGTCCGCAGACCTCTTTTTCCATTGACATCAATAAGGCATGCCAAGCGCCGTGCCAGCACGAGATTTACTGCGTCCTTCAACACGGCACTCTACTTATTAACTTTGAACAAGATCCCGGTGGCAGAACTTTGGCTGTGCTAGAAAAGCACTCAGTAATAGAAAAATGTTTCTTCTTGCTGAAATCTCAGGGCTTAATTTCAGGGTAAACAAGTCACAGGTCGATAGGTTTTCTACTTTTGTCAGGCTTTTCCGGCGTTTGTCGTAGTCGTTTGGTTACACAGTACAATACGCCATCTTTGCACTTACAGTAAATGTGCTAACTCCTGAAATGTCAACCGAAATTTCGAAATGCGTTCTCGTTTCGAAAAGATAAATTAAGTAGTGTTGTAAAACGAATCAGGATGCAGCATAAATCTATAATGATCCAGTTACCTCAGGGTGTCGGCTTTCGAAAGAACTTATTTTCGGCTGCATGCAATATCTCTACTCCGCAAAAAATGACTACTTAGGTAGTAAGCAATTTTCTCATTGAGTTTTGATGCCCTTGAAAATTCAATTATATTTCATGGAAAACATGCATAAAAATATTCAATCTTTTATTTTTTCGGTAGAACTTCACGACTTCTTCCAATTTCATACTCAAAAGAAGAGTATAATTCGGTTTTACAAACTGTTCTAGTTCCCGAATAATTTTGAATCTGACCTGCTGTTACACTTGCATTCAGGGTTCCAAATCTACAGGCCATATAATTTCCGCGTACGGAAAAACGGGAATTTCTCTACGGTGTTAAGAGGAGACCATATGGATTTCATAAAATTAAGCAGTGGATTTGAGCAATATTGTTAACTTTACAAGCCACATTCGTAAATGCAGATACATGACGTTTCATGAACGGCCATTTAACGGTATTAAAAATCTCACAGTTAGAAACTTTTCTAAAACCGAATTATACTCTTCTTTTGAGTATGAAATTGGAAGAAGACGTGATTTTCTACCGAATAAATAAAATAATCAATATTTTTATGCATGTTTTCTATGAAATATAATTGAATTTTCAATGTCATCGAAAATCAATGAGAAAATTGCATGCTACTTAAGTAGTCTTTTTTTCAGAGTATAGATCTTGCATGTGGCCGAATATAAGTTATTTCGAAAGCCGACACCCTGAGGTAACCGGATCATTAGAGATTTATGCTGCATCATGATTAGTTTTACAACACTACTTAATTTATCTTTTCGAAACGAGAACGCATTTCGAAATTTTGGTTGACATTTCATGAGTTAGCACATCTACTGTAGGATATGGCTCATAAGTGAACAGTTAGACCTTGCTATTGGGCTTTAAGATGGCAGCAATGCCGCCAATGCAAATTTTGAATTTTACACGCGTCTCAGGGACATTTCGACCTTAAATGGCCGACTTCCGCAGTTGGGAAACTCCTTCATGCCGATCGATGGTACTGAAAGATCTTGGGTTTAAACCGCGTTGCGCTACAACTGCGTGGGAGTGCAGGCGGCCAGCACGTGTGGGTTGCATGCATTTTATGGAGGCCCACAACACGCCAGTCCCCGCACGCGAATAGTTCGACCGTTAAGTACGATCATGTCCACTGTGTGCTCCACAGCAGGCTGAGAGGATGGATTGTGATTTGTGTGAAAATTTAGTTTATAGTGACAGTAGACTTTCACAGCATCCACCGCACACTCCCCTCCTTCCCTACGTGGACTCGGCGTCAAGACAGACTCAAGAAGATCGGAGGCGGAGGGGGTCGCAGGTGGATGACATAGTCGAGCCCGCACCTTGCTGCTACACTCCACACCCCCTGATCCACACAGCAAATGACCAGGTTTTTGACCAAGAACAACAATGGGGGGGGAGCGACAGGAGTCCCAGTGTGCGCGACGACTGGCGACAACCGGGTCCGCCACCGCACCCCGAAATGTTGGCATTTGTTTTGGTGCGTAATCCGATAACGCCTGCTAGAATCCGATATAGCCCCTGTGTTGGTCCAGCGCATCTACCACGTGCCCGACACACAGTCGGTTTAACTCGATCAGGAAAGACAGATAGAGGAATACGTCAGTTTAGATCGGATTTCCTCACTATCCTCTCCCACGGCGAGTTAAAATATTGGGTACGAAAGTCTATCGGACGGAAAATGTAACTTGGTCCTCCTTGCGACCAAGTAGCAGACTGTGAAAACTCCTTCATAATGCAGAGCTTACGGCCTTATCATCTTCGTAGGAGCTGGGGCGTCACTCTTAGAGAACGTGTGACACGTGAAAATGCCGTGCATGCGCGCATGTCCAGTTGTCTTGAATCTGTACTGCCAGTGAAGCAAGCAGGACGTGGAAAGGGTTACGCTGGACGATGTGCATACTTGCTTTACTACAAACAATACTCCGCACATGTAACCGCTGTGCTCTATCTTGAGTAACGGCGGATCTCGTCACCTTCACCTGCAACTCACCGTTACAAGCGTCCGTCCGATTATCGCACATGAACGACCTCAAAAGTATGATTTTATGGGACACTATGAGGTCCACTAGCCGGACTGCAGTTCGCATCACAGGTTATCTTCATCCATGACTTCCAGGGAACCTTCACGGCCGATCGGCTGTTCGTGCAGGGGCTGTACGAAGGTAAACACTCCATCTTTAATTCATGAGTGTTCCTCAGAATGCTTCTTCTCCTGCGCTATCCCAATACATATTAAAAAAATAAAATGATACCGAGAAATACAAGGAAGACCGGAATGGCTTTTTCGGGCGTATTAGTAGTCATCAGCTCCAAGGCACAACGGAACAAGCACGTTCCGTAACCTCATCGGTGAGCGTCCTACTGTCACATATTAATAATTTTTAAGGACTTTACTTTGAGCTACTCATGTTGGCAAGTCGGTTAATTATCCTGATGCATTATGCCTCTAGTTGCTATTACACATTTTTAATACTATTCGAGTGGCTGAACTTAAAGGAATGTCCGAATTTATGAGTGGGAGTAAAAGAATAATGCCTAATTTGAAAGGCCCGCAGGCATGGTTGAGAAAGTTTCGTTTTAGAATGACCGATAAAAACTTGAGGTATCACTAGTCCGAGACGACCCAACGGAAGCTGTCTTGTCTGGAAATTATGTCAGAAAACTCCCTTTGCGTTTTTAAAGTAAAACACCAAGTATTTGAGGTCACAATATTCATCGGCAGGGACCATAATACCACGTGGGTTCCTAAACGGTAACACGCTGACAGTTGATTGGGCATCTTTCCAGCCAATTGTATAAAGCACACTCGAAAACCCCTGCGCTCTTGAAGTCGGATTTGTCTTTACGGCCTTCCATTGCCTAGGGTAACGCCACAATAACGGCCAGAAAGCGCCATCAAAAATCCAATTCCTGTGCCTATTACGTAGGAAGTAATATCTGGAATTTGGTTAGTGAGGCAAATGTAGTTTCTGACTAAGAGAAAGTTTACGAACTCCGTATGGTTACGCGTATGCTCCACTTCACGTCAGTCTATGACCGCTACAATGCAATCCCTGTCTACCGCAATATCTGTCCGGAAATATTTTGAAATTACTGAGAGACTCCTTAAAAAGGAAACACAATTTAT